TCTGTCCTTCCACAATCTTCTGCTGCCCTAAATATCCATGTCCTACACTATGTGACTATTCACTTGAGCCATTGCTGACTGCATTAGGGTGACTGTGAAAGGGCTGTCACAGATTAACCAGTGACCTAGGGCATATAGGGACTGGCCTGAAATGATTAGCTGGACCAATACAATTCCTCCCTCAGGAACTGGGGAATTGAGACCCTGAGCCAGTTAGCCAAGGGAATGGAAATCAAAATCTGTCACTTGGAACCAACTAGAGCCAAGCTGGTAGAAAGAAAACTCAGTAGATGAGTGGAGAGAAGCAGGAATATCATGGAAGGAAATCCAAATACCTCCATAGAAGGCCACCTCAGTTCCTAACAACTTTCTACTTTCCAGTTCTTCTCCCATGAGGTCCACCCACACCATATTCCCCATTCTTGAAATACTGTGACATTTCCTTTCCAAATATCTTCCAATCCTTATTATTATGTGAAGAAGAAAGGTCCAGTGAGGTGTCATTATGTTTTTAATGGCTCTCTATTAAAGATATTCCTTTATCTTTCTTTTTAACAAAGTGAGAGGAGGCAACAGTATCTAGATGGAGTTTAGATTTCCTTGTTTTTGTTTTTATGGATACATTCTAGTTATGGCCAATAATACTACTGGTTTTCCATTGAAGGTAGAGACATAAAATTACAACGAAAAACAAAGTGGGTCAATTTAAATAACTTTTTCCATGTGGACATGGAAAAAGCCAGGAATATGTACAATAAGCAAATGACTATTTGGGCTAGAAAACCAAATCCTGATTTTAATATCACTGTGTAGACAGCCATCTACCTTTCCTTATCATTCTTTTTATTCCAGAATCACATCTCTAATTGGAAGACCCAGTTAGTCCTTTAGGTTCCTGCCCTAGATTTATAATCTTTAAAGATGACTTTCAAGTTACTCCTGGCAAAGGCACTACATGCTGTAGAAGAAGAGTACGGAATTTGAAGTCGGACAAACATGGAGCACAAATCTTTACTACCAACTAATTGTCAAATTACTTAAACTCTCTGAGTTTGGTCATCATTAAAATTATTTTAAAAATCTACTTCACTTTATGGTTGCACAACAATGTGAATGTGCTTAATATCACAGAACTGTGCACTTTAAAATGGTTAAAATTGTAAATTTTATTATGTATGCTTTACCGCAATAAAAAAATCTACTTCACAGAAGTATTTGAAGATTATATTTTCAAAGACAGTGGAACACTTCACCACTATGACTGACACATGTAAGTGCTCATTAAATGGCTACCATTAAAATAATCATCAAGTTGCTGAATAAATAAGCTGTGGCACACACTACTCCCCTTCCTCAGAGAGCCTACTTGGAGGGCTAAACAAATCTAATTGGTGATTTTTATAGCAATAGAGGGGCAAATAACTGTCAGTTCTGTTTCCCATCTTAGACTTCCTCACCCTTGGTCTGGCCTCTTTTCCCTCTCTGTCAAGCTTCTTTCTGTCCCAAGACAACTCCCAAACACACTACAAAGCCCTAGTATCCCCTCATGCTACCTATAGTCCCAAGCTATTTCTTTCCTCTCTATACTTGTTAATTTTTCACTGAGCTTTCTTTGTATCCCATAGTTGAGCAAATAGGGAAATGCTATAAGGTACTATCCTGCTAATACGAGAGTATATACTCCTCCTCTTTCTTCTGTGCCTATACTCTGTGCAGCAGACAGGAAGCTAAGGTTAAGAATTCTAAGCTAGTACTGATCCCTCAACTCTACACATTCCCTGCCATTGGAGCTATAGAGAGAGAAAGAGAGAGGAAAAAAAAAATAAAGAGTACACAAAGTATGTCATTATTATCTTTTCACCCCTCTTTGGAAATCCTTCTCTCTCACACTGCCACCTCTCCCCAGACCTCCAATACCTTGCTGTATTTGTGTTTTATTATGGTTCTCCTTCAGTGAAAGTCTGTCAGTGATAAACTTTGTCTTTGACTGAAATGTCTTTATTTCACTCTCATTCTTAATTGTTCGTTCCAGTGGGTACAAAGTTCCTACACTGACACTTATTTTTACTCAGCATTTCAAAGATATTAAAGATGACTCTTCTCAGTCTAATTGAAGTTCCTTCATAGGCAATCTGTCTTTTCTCTTTGGTTAATTTTAACATCTCTTCTGTCCTAGGCTCTCTACAGGTTCACTACAAAGTATTTACACTCTGATGAAGACTTTCTGAGTCTGAGGATTCATGCCTTACATGAATCCTGGAAATTTCTCAACCATTATCTCTTCACATACTGCCTCCTCTACCTCTCTTCTCTCTGGAAATCTTTTTAGACATAAGTTAGATCTACATTGTCCAACACAGTAGTCACTAGCAACATGTGGCTAGTGAACACTTGAAATGTGGCTAGTCCAATCTGAGCTGTGGTACAAATGCAAACTATCAATACACACTGGATTTTATTAAAGACACTATGGAAAAAAAGTAAAGTATCTCATTCACAATTTTTTTTTTTTTTTTTTTTTTTTTTTGCGGTACGCGGGCCTCTCACTGCTGTGGCCTCTCCCGTTGCGGAGCACAGGCTCCAGACGCGCAGGCTCAGCGGCCATGGCTCACGGGCCCAGCCACTCCGTGGCATGTGGGATCTTCCCGGACCGGGGCACAAACC